TGTGTGTGTGTGTGTGTGTGTGTGTGTGTGTGTGTGTGTGTGTGTGTAAAGCAATCTGCTGTTTAGGAACAGGCTGGCGTTTGGGGGTTTCTGGTAGATTCTCATTTCCTAACTTTTTTCTTAGAGCCATGGGGCACAGTTATTACTTCGTTACAGGAGCTGCTTAGCTCTAAAGACTGCTTTCCTTGCTCTTGAGTTTCCACCATATACAGTACTTTTTATTAAACTCAGGTAGATGGAAGGAAAGAGGGATAAAGGAACAGACAGGATAAACAGCCAGGACTGGAATACAGCAAAATCGCAGGTGTCCTCAGCCATGCTCTTCTTCATGATAATACAGCAGCACAGACCGGGGCTCCACATATCGGTCCTGGCATCCCTGTGACCTCTGAGACAGTTTTGCAGGGAGGGAAGGAACAGGTCCCAGGCCTGTGTCCTGGTTTTCAAACAGAAAATCATGCCCAGCATCACAAAGCTGAACCAACACCATGTGGTCCTTCACCCAGCATCCAGTACTGTTCTGCACCTGCCAAGTACAAGGTACCATAGAGCAGACCTTGGCAATGTGCCCAACCACAGGAGAGCATCAGGTACTGTGGGGCCCTGGTGGGTAAGCCCATGCCCAGGTCAGGACTGTCCTGGGTCCGTGTGTTAGGCCATGGCTGCAAACATCACACCATAAGGCCTCATCACCACCCTCATCAAGAAGAGTAGAGTTTCAGTGGAAAGGATACCACAAAGAGTGTCAGAATGAGATGTGACGCCTGGGAACTGTAGGCCTCAGGCTGAAGAAGCCTGGGCCAAGGAGGAAAGGGATGAGAAGGCATAGCAGCTGCGACAGGGCCAGCAAGACCTAGCATTAACAGGAGCCAAGGTCTTTCACCTTAGTGTATGGATTCCAGAGGAAGAGGTCTGGGCTGCCTCCCAGCTTCCTGGTCTGCGGACAGAGATGGGAACGGCCAAGTCCAATCCAGCCACCACTTTTGACCTTAAGCCCTAGAGCAGGCTTTGAGTTTCCATTCCGAATGTCACACTTGCCATGTGACATCGAGCCGAGGGACCTTCGGAACAGAACAGATGTTAGAAATGAGTTTTCTCTGAAGGTGTCACTGCCAGCCCTTCAAGTGCTGCAGGCTGCAGACTGGAAGTCAAATTGAGAAGGGTCCTGGGAACTGGAGACTCTAGAGCTGCAGCTTGCATGCTTCCAAGGTCAGCAGGGTATGCGCTGTGGCATGGAGAGGAAGCAGGAGCGTTGCTGCTTAGTCCTCACATGCTGGGGGGGTTACTGAAAGCCCTCTGACACAGTTGCCAGGTTTCCAGGGGCAGATACTGCTCTACCTTGGACTTACTTGAGGGCCAGTAGCAATCAAGATTTGTCCCCCAAATGTGCAAGGTCATCTTTCCCTGCAGACAGTTCTGTAGCCACCATGAGCACAGGCCAGTGAGCAGAAAGGGAAGACTCTCTCTGCACTTACAGAAACAAGGTAACACGAGTCCTGACCCTTTGACCCCATGCCCAGAGCACCCCCAGCTGTCTTAAATGCAGAGTAGCTGCAGGATCCTGGGCTGTGGGCATTCATTCCTATATCTGGGTTACATACGCCGTGCAGAAGGTGCCTGTTCCTTTGTGGCCTGAGTTAAATCACCGTGATCTACAGGCGTGTGCTATGGCCAGAGTTCTGCAGGAAGCAGAGGCATCTGTTGATTCAGGCTCCTTCCTCTGTTGGTGCCTGACTGTAGAGTGTGGGTGAGGTCATCTCAGAACCCTACAGACTATACCAACACTGAGACTTCAGGCCATAGGCCTGAGCATCAGCCTCCTTCAACATTCCAGGGAGTGTCCTAGTGCACCGCCTGAGCCCCAGAGTGAAGTAGACAGCCCCCGTGGAGGGGCAGTGCCAGCCACACATTTCACACTGTGTGGAGGAATCTAGGAAGACCTGTCCCCACAGCCATCCAGTGGACATCAGGCACAATGTGCTCAGCATGGCCCACAGAGAGGAGTCAGGACCAGGCAGGTGCTAGCATCTCAGAGCACATAGAGGAAGGTGGGAGCCAGAACAGCAACAGCACAAATTAGATCAAGAGGAGTAAACTGAGGCTCTTCTTCTCCTCTTCTGCCCACACAGAGTTGACTGTTATTACCAGCGGTGCTGAAGGTGGTCTGAATGGGTGTCGGGCTGGAAGGAGGAGGTGAATTTGCTAAGAGATACTCTTGAATACAGAATCTCTAAGCAATCCAGAACAACACTAGCCAATTAAAAAGTAAACTTCAGCAAGGACAGAGGGTGCATGATCAATATCCAGAAATCAATCCAGTTTGTGTATACCAGCAGCAAGCACTCTGAAAACCAGGCCGAGGAGCTGTGGTCAGGAGACACCCCCACACAGCCCCTAACCTGGGTTCTGCTAGCCACGTGCAAGCATGGAATCTTCCATTGAAACGAGATAACAGTTAAGGCAGGGTGTAGCTTAGTTCAGTCTGGCTCTTCCAGGAGCATCTGTGGGGGTGTGGGATACCGTGACCTTGGCTAGCCTGTTGTCTCTGTGATTCATGAGTCATGAGCTCTGCCCCCTTGTTCTCTTAGGACACAGATCTGTCTGATTTTTTCCCCCAGGGATTTCAAGTTTAGAGAACCAAGATCAATACTGAGTCTGAATTTCTTGACTTTCTGGGGTGCTGCTACACTGTACCTTGACTTGGCTTTGTCCTCTATACCTCCTGTGGTCTCAGGGTGACCACATAGCTATTTGATGACAGCCAGGCCTTATGTAGTATGGGGCTGTGAGGGTGCCCACTGGAGATGGGATCCCATAGGGGCTGCCTGCTTCAGGCAGGCCTCAGGAGACGTGGCCAAGGACCATGTTATGTCCCAGGAAGACTGACAGCGTTTGCCCGGACTGGAGAGAAGGCCTAAGTACCCAGCTCTGATTTCCTACCTTCCTCTTACCAGGCTGCTCAGTGGGCTGTGTCTCCATGGGGACCTAGATCGGCAGCTGTCTCCTCTTTATCCCCTTTCATGTTACGCTGAAGTTGTTTCCTCAGCTTGTGAAGGTGCCATGATAAAAGGGAAGTAGCGCTGGGTTCTGTGAATCACTTTTGCCTACTCGGGGACCACAGGAGCATTGCACTCATGGATGCTGTCCTTTGGCCGTGGACAGGAGATGAGTGCTATTACAGCCATGGAGTTGAGCTCCAGCTCAACACCATGATCCTCAGGAGTGACTCAGCCTAGCCCCACTGTGTGTTATCCAGGCTCTGGCTGTCCCCCTGATACCCTGTAACCTTATTTCCTGCGCTCCCCCAGAATCAGCTGGAGGCCCACCAAGACGAAGGAATGGTCATCTCCCACATGGCTGTGGCTGGCGTTGGCATCTGGATCGCCTTCACCTCAGGGTCCACCCTTCGCCTCTTCCACACAGAGACCTTGAAGCACCTGCAGGATGTCAACATTGATGCCCCCGTGCATGGCATGTTGCCAGGTACTCCCTGGGGAAGGGGGGGAGGGTCCTAGTGTCGTTATCTCTTTTAGAGCTTGCAGTCAGGTTCCTTGGCCCCTGGGCATTCACATATGCCCCATGTATGTAGAGGCACGGACACTGTGTGTAGTACCTGGCATGAGTTAGTGTGTGGGCAGTGTATATTAACATGTAGCCTTATTTATAATTATGTATCCCACCCCGTCTATGAACATAATAAAGGTTGTATGAATGGCCCACAGTGGGCCAGACTGGGGATGCTACAGGCAAGACGAGGTAAAATGCATAGTACCTGAATGTACCAACAAGAACCACTGAAAGCTTTGAACAGGGAGAGGGAGCTGTCGCACCAGTGTGGGTTTGGGGAGGATGGGCTTGTAGGGAGAGGACTGAACAGGCCTTGCCTGCCCTTTGTCCACGGGGTCCTGCCTAACAGTCGGCAGGGAGAGTGTGGGAGAAAGGTGGGAATGGAGAGCACAGGGATGGGTTGAAGTTAGGGAGGAAGCCATGCAGTGAGGTGAGCTGCTCACCTGTTAACAGACATGCTGGGTGGACAGTGTTCCCGTGTGGATCCTAGGTAAGCTGGGATGGTTTCCCGTGATGCCTTGGGAAACCATAACTTAGGGGTCATGATGCGGAAAGAGAGTGGACCTGTCCGTGACTGAGGAGTAATGAGAAGCGAGAGGCCAGAAAGATGGCAGCTGGAAAGATTTGCTGAGCCCAGCAGAGCACAGGCGTCTGAGGATACTCACAGGCGGCTCTCTACAGGACTGGCCGCCAGCAGCTTTTTAGGTGTTGCAGGCTGTTTTATTTAGTTAGTGAAATCGAGGTTTCTGTAATGCATGTTATTTTTAGAAAATAAAAATATTTTAGCATCAGGCTGGCCCCCAAGGCGTGCTACTGGGGACCTGACTGTTTTCCTTCAAGTATTAGCCACCTGGATAGGTGCTTGCTGTTGGAATCTATTGCCACCCTCAGACAGAAACCATGTCAGATTCACCAGCTGCCAACACTGACTTGCATCCGGCCAGAGACTGCCCTGCACTCTCTATTGACATGGAAAGGGACAGGAGTTAGATTGTTCTGTGCTAAAGGCTCCTGGGGCCCAGATCCTGACCTGGTACCCTGTGGCCTCCAGGGAAGCAGCTGTGGTTGCCATGGCTCCTGGAGTCCTGAGAACCAACCACAGGAATGTGTCTGACCACAGCCCCTGCCACAGGGGCCCTGCACTGCTTTGTGTTCATTCCCTGCAGTTTCTGTCAGAGACTGGGGAAAGGAGGGGCCGGCTAGTGGGTGGAGTTTGTATATTGAGTTTTTTTATGAAAACAGTCCTTGTACATGATATAGTGAAACCAAACAGCAAGAACACCAAGTGAATAGTGAGGTGACTCTGGGGCTGTCCATCTGGCTGACCCTCCATCATCTGGTGCTTCCCACGACCTCCGTGTCCACTTAACTCTAGCTGCTCCTGTCTGTCCTCTTGATTTCCTCCTGCGGTGGGATATGCCGGCTTCTGAGCAGATCCGTCGGGAATACCTGCTGTAGACACAGTCAGGCAGGGGGCATGCAAACATGCAAGCTCACTCCTGCCCACTTCCTGTCCTCCACTGTACTGACCAGGGGGGCTCCTCCTCCTCAGGCAGGCAGCCAGCTCTGTTAGGAAACACTGCTGACTGCTCAGCGTGGGGGTGCAGTGTTCTGTCTGCAGCTGAGCCACACGGGGGCTATTGTGTTTCTTTCTGTTCACCCTGAAGCCAGTGCTGCCCCACTTTAGCCTTCCACACTGCTTCCAGTTGGCCAAACATTGGCTTGCCCCATGTTCCCTACAAAGCCTGACCCTTGGTACCACTGGGTTCATGGGATTGTGAGGTGTGGACCATTTTCCAGAGCCTGCCAACCTCATGACCTTTCTTTCCTCATGCCAGAGGTTGTGTCACAGTCTCTCGACAGTGTTATGGTTTGACTCTATCACTGCCTCTTGACAGCTCATGAATTTAAGGGACAGTTGTATCATGAGGGCTCTGGCCTAATCTAGTGATGGATCCATACTTTGATGGTGTTGAGACATTGTGGAAACTAGAAAATGGAGTCTAGTTAGAGGAAATGTGTCTCTGGGGGAGTGCCTTGGAAAGATCCCCCCCCCAAAGTCCCCGTACACAGAGACTCCTAACCCGTGCCAGCTATCTATCAGATGAACAGCTTTCTTCCACGCACCCTTCTGTCATATTCCTGGCTTGCCACAGGCGTAGAAAGCAAAGGAGGGAGCCACTGAAGACATAGCCCGAAGTCAGGCGCCCTTTTAAGTGGCTGATGTCAGATATTTGGTTACAGCTGTGGAAGATGCCCTGATGCAAGCCATCTCGGACACAGCCTTGGGGGCGCTCTGTCATGGATCCTGATCTAGTTCTGTGCAGCTAGTCAGTGTGTGTCTTACTCCTGTGTGGGTGGAACAGACAGACGGGTCTGAGCAGAGTGGCCTGGAAAGCCTGAGGTTGGGCTGCACTCCTTAGCACCGTGTGCCGTATTTTAAATGGCTTCCCCTCCGCCTCTGGGAGGCTCGCCATGCCTGTACACTCCCGTATTCTTCCATTGGTAACATGGTGCTGCCCTCAGCTTGGTCTCGAGGGAAGGGCGACTCAGCAGAGCTCTGCCACAGTAAGAACCAGGTTCTGTCCACTGCATCCAACCGTAGTTCCTGACCTCCCAGAATGGTGCTGTGTGGGGCTGTTGGGATTTCCAGCCCATGCTGTGGTTTAGAGAGAAGGAAGCCAGTGCTTCAGAGCAGCGTGTGCCACTGCTCCACAGCGCTGCAGCCTTGTGCTGTAACCCTAGTGTCTGAGCCACTGTTTGCCCGGCAGTCAGTGCACATGCAGGTGCGTGTGGAAGCAGCCTGCGCAGGTGTCCTTTCACGCCACTGCTAAGAGTTAAAGTCAAACTAGCTTCCGCAGACAGAGACACATTGATCCAGAACTTGATCAGAGCACTCTTCTGAGGGGTCCTGAGAGCACCCTGTGGGCCCTACGAGTCGATTCCCAGGGACTCACCTTCCCCTTCCATCCAGCACAGGCTCCCAGTGTAAGCCATACCAGGAACGCTGCCGCCCAGCTGCAGACCTCAGCTTGGGCAGGCACTGGAGGATAGAGGACTAGGTGGTGCGGTCATAGGATGGGAAGGTCCTGAGCAGCCTCCGAGCCAGCACACAGATGTTTCCTTTCTAATCCTCAGTACTCAAAGCCAGCAAAGCTGGTGAGAAAGGTGCTGGCACACACTTAACCTTCTGTGTCCCTGCTGAGCGGATACAGCTTCCAGAAGCAGCCACGTAAAAGGGCCATGTTTTCTATCAGAAAAAAAAAGTGTGAGTCTTACCCTGGTCTCAAGGGCGTTGATGAGTTAATCAGTACTCCTGGTTATGTGTGAACCAGAGAACACAGGCACTCACAGCTGGCCTGTGGGATCATGTCTCCTGCCCACAGGGAGTGACCTGGACAGCACGTGAGGTGAGCATTTGCAAACCACAGACAGCCAGTTTCTAAATAAAAAATAGGAAATAGTAGCATCTGGGGCTTAGTTGCTTTCTTCCTTTTGTTACTAACTTTTATTACTATAGTTGTTATTACTATTAGTAGTAGTATTTATTGAGGCCATTTTCTTTTGTAGTTTCCATCTGATCATCTTGCCATCAGGTCAGTGTGTTGGGGCTCATGCACGAGGCCTCACTCCTACACACCTAGGCACCTTGATGTCAGCATCGGCTCAGGGCTTCTGTCTCCCGGCTTCCTGTCCTTCCTCTCCAGGACTCATGCTATTCTGTGGCTCTCCTTGGAGAGAGACACTTCTGACAGAAAAGATTCCTCTGAGGAGGCAATGGAACACTTCCCAGACTCTTACTATACTTAAGATAATGTAGGTGTGAAAGTGAAATTTTCTGGAAAAATTATACACACACACACTGTTTACATGTGGGAGATTCAAACGGAGAATGAAAGATCCAAGATGTATTTCTGGGTGAATGAGAATATCTAGTGGTGCTTGCATCCTTCATTCTTTGATGGTAAATCATCTTTAGGAGCCACTGAATGAGGAGACATTACACAGGAGACGCCCCATTTGCCTGTTAATTGCCTTTGAAGTGATGTTATTCACAGTAAAAGTATTTCACAGGCATTTTTCAAGGCCCAGATCAACACTCTAAAATTTATTAATTAAAAAATTCTTCTTTGTAGAAAAAAATAAAGGAAAGTCTGTTTCCCAATGCAAAACTTTTTAGGATGTCAGATGAGAGAAACTGCAGCAGGCAAGCTCATTTGTGGGGCTTTACCTGCAGGAGTGGTTGGCTGGCGGCCTGGGGACATGGCTGGCCCTCAGGCTGCAGCTGAGAGCAGAGCTGAGGGCCTGCGGTGGGGGAGGCATTCTCAGAGCTGTGTCAGGTTTAATGACTTTCCGTACCTCTGTGTTTTGACAAGGAAGTTCAAACTCACTGGGACTTTCCATTCTCCCATCTGTTTTCCTCTCTAACCGTGGGGTGAGGGCCCGAGGATTGGCAGGTGGGAGAATGTCAATGGCCCACCAGCTAGTCTTGGCAGGGTAACACAGCAGTCAGAAACAATGTGGGCATGGGCTTCAGAACTCCTCAGTGTTTTTCAACAGTCCTGGGAAGCCAAAGCTGCTGCTTGAGTAATGGGCGCTGCGGGGTTAATTGCAGTGTATCCGTAAGGCCCACGTCATGCCAGATGGACAGACATCTAGAACAGCAGGGAGTAAACTCTGTTAGCTCTTTAAAAGCTGCACAGGTTGCCAGGCATGGTGGCACACACCTGTAATCCCAGCACTCAAGAGGCAGAGGCAGGTGGATCTCTATGAGTTCGAGGCCAGCCTGGACTACAGAGTTGGTTCCAGGACAGCCAGCGACACACAGAGATACCCAGTTTCATAAAAACAAACAAAACAGCAACAACAACAAAAAAACTTGCAGAGATCAATGTTTAGAAGTAAAAAAAAAAAGTTTTATTTTTAAAATATCTGTTTTGAAGTCTAAGAATTTCATAAAAATGGCCTCTGAAGACACACAGTTCACGCTGGCCCCAGTGTTTGCTTGTCCTTAGCATGAACTTTCTGTCAGAGGCAGATATAGCAAAAATAACCTTTGTTCTACAGATAAAATAGAGTCAAAGGGCGCTCCATGAGTAAGCTCCATGCTTCTGTGCTGGTCAGCTTCAGGGCTGAGTGCCAGGACCAGTCTTAAGACTCTTTCAGCCCAGGGTCATTTTCCGGGCAGGCCAGAGTCTCTTGCAGGCCCCCTGCTGCTCGGGAGCCTGAGAGAAGATACCTGCATAGTGATAGCCACTGCTCCCAAGTCCTCCTGCTGGCCTGGCCAGCTCCGTGGCTATAGGGCAGGTCAGCAGAACAGCCCAGAGGCTTCTCAGACCCCACAGTGCTGTCACCTCCCTTGTTTCTCACCATCAGCACCATGTCTGTGGGGCACATTTACATAGAAATTCTCCAAGTCTCACAGGCTGCGTGCCTTGCTGCAGTGTGCTGTGTGTGTGTGAGAGGGGGGGGGGAGAGGGAGAAAGGGAGAGGAAGTAGGCACTGTGTAGCTATGTGGAGGCAGATGATTTCAGGAGCTCTGAGGTCTGGCTCACCTCTGGCAAGGCTGGTCTCAGCACAGACTGAAGACCTGCTGTGCGCTTGCTGCTCTGAGGTAAGGTGCACGGATGGGACACCCCAGGACCTGTCCTTCTCTTCTGGTGGAGGATGTTCAGGGCACAGGTGTGAGCATTCCTGCAGCTTGTTCTGCCACGGGGCTTAGTGGCATCTCTGGTGTCTCAGGAGACTGGCCCTGAAGTCCAGAACACTTCCAGTTTTCACAGCCCCACCACCCCCTGCTACTCACCAGCACTGCCACCTGAGTGAGGTGCAGGGCACGGGGACACTTCTCTCTCTCTCTGTTTCACCCAGGGCACCAGCGTCTGTCTGTGACCAGCCTGCTCGTATGCCATGGTTTGCTCATGGTTGGTACCAGCCTGGGTGTTGTGGTGGCCCTGCCAGTCCCTCGTCTTCAGGGTATCCCCAAAGTGACAGGTGAGTGGACACGGCCTCACACCTGGGTCTCCTTCGAGCGTCTCGGCACCTTGCTGTCCTGTTGTCTTTAGAGCACCATAGATACCACCCAGCCACTGCAATAGCACACACTCACTCATGTTAGGAGCTACACACGGCAGATACCTCACGTTTTGATTGCCAGGTGATTTCTGTTTAAATGGAAATGGGATAGCACGGCGGCCGCGTACCTGCTACCCAGTGCAGGAACAGGGGCATGAACTGGACAGCCGAGATCCCAGCCGGCCACCCTTCTAAACTCACTTCTTTCACCTGCACACCCCTCCTCCTGTGTTAGTCACCAAGTTGTATCTCAAAACATTTATTTCCTAGTTTTACCCTGTCCGCAGTAGTTTCCTAGCGTGTATCTTCCTGGTGACTTTATTTTCTCCTCTGTTTCTGCTATGTACTGCCATGCTACAGTGGGTACTTGTCATTAGCACCCATGAAGCACCCAAAAATAAGGCTGAGATCAGTGACGCAGGGAGGCAGCTCTCCTGTCAGTGGCTGGGAGCCCGCCAGACGTCCCTGACAGCTAGGATGAATGGGTCACACCACCTGGGGACTGAAAAAGTCCTGGCTTTAATAAGCAACTGTAAAGTTCCAGAAACTTCTGCAGTGGAAATTGCCAGTAGCTTCCTACAGTATAGGCGCTGTGTTCCTGACACTGACCCACATTAGTCTTTGATTTCTTTTTTAAATATGTAATCATTATTTTTCTGTGTGGGTTTATGTATATGTGTTTGAATGGATGTTTTTGTGTCTGTATCTGTGTTCATGTGTATGTGTGTCCACGAATGTGTGTGTATGTGACTATATGTGTGTTTTTGTGTGTGTTTATGTATGCCATGTGAGTGCACGGCCCATAGAGTCCCGATGAAAGCATTAGATTTCCTGGATTTATAGTTACAAGCAGTTACGAGATGCCCAGTGTGGGTGCTGAGAACAGTAAATCAAAGGAGTCATCAATTTAAGGCTTTAGGTGGCTGAGTCCACAAGGATGTGATCGAGGGCGGGTCTGCTTCCACCACCCATATATTAGTGCTACTTGCCGAGCTGGGGCCTGGGTAATAGCCTCGGGGTCGGGCCTGTACTTTGTTATCCTATGCAGTATGTTTGTTATTAAAGACCTTGTTGAATTGTCCTCTCAGGACGAGGCATGGTCTCCTACCATGCACATAATGGGCCTGTTAAGTTCATCGTCATGGCCACAGCATTTCAGAAGAACAAGGACAGAGCCAGGGACAGCCCACCCTCCGGCCCAGAGCCTCAGGATGAAGACCCCAAGGACTTGCTCTGCACTGACGACGCCACTTCTTGCCTGGGCCAGAATGATGTCAACACAAGTGTTTGGTTGGGAGACTCACTAGGATTGACAGCTCAGAAGAACGAGCTGTCTTCATCCTCGGGGTCACTGAGCCTGTCCCATGGCTCCAGCTCCCTAGAGCACAGATCTGTGGACAGCAGCCTGTGTGACCTCCTGAAGGACCCTAGCGCCTCCCCAAGGAGCAGGGCGCAGCGCTCTAGGAGAGCCAAAGCCAGTTCAGCGCTGGTGGTGTGTGGGGGCCAGGGCCACCGGCGAGTGCACAGGAAGGCCAGGCAGCCTTCCCAGGAGGACCTGGTTTCTTCAGTGATGGTGTGGCAGATCCCACTGCTGAGCATGTAGATAGAGGCTGCTGCCTGCCCTCAGGTGGCAAGCAGGGACAACTCAGCCGGATGCAGGCTAAGCGATGGAGGCTGCATCCAATACCACTGGGACCAACTGGAAGCAGAGTTTGTGAAGGAAATAGGCAGCGGTCACACAGCTTCCCTGAACAACTGAGTCCAGATGTGCTAAGGAGGCAGAGGAGCATCCTGGCTTTTGAGTCACTGAGCAAAGTAACAGGATAGTGCTACAGCCTGCCCCATCATTCACCTGAGATGTGAAGTGTGCTGATGGTACCAGTTCTGGGCACACCTCGGAGGACTGACAGGGAGATGTAGCGTCCAGTAGCACAGGAGGTCACTAACAATTCTTAAAACATTCTACTTGACTTAGACTCACCACTGTTATTTATATTCTATGTATTTTCCCACTCCCAGAATGAAAATTGTAACAATTTAGAAAGCCAGGTAACGCACCCCAATCCAGTCAGCTTGATTTTTGGGGGGAGTGACTGAGGCTTTCAAAAGTAGACTCATATGTGTAGTTAACAAATGGTGTTTTTATATTGCATTTTTCTATTAAAAATCAACAGTTAACATTTTAGTCAATATACTATTTGTAGTGTTTCCCACATAATCTTTGCTTTAAGCCAAAATGTCCAATACTTATCAAGATCTGGATTCCAGCCTCCATGCCAAATCATACTTGCCTTCTCATACTAAACGCTATTAATATCTCCATGGGACACGAGCTGGCCGAGTCATGCCAGGATGGTGCTGGAAGCGTCCCGGGTCTTCTGTGCATCTGCTGTCAGAGAGCCATCCACATCCGGATGCTCATTCTGATGTCCCAAGGTGCTGATCAGTCTGCCGTGCCAGTGCCATCCCCTCCCCAAAGAATGTACACAGTCACATGGGGCCCTTGAGAGGCAGCCGCCCATGTCAAAGGACACGTCAACCCAAAGGCTCCGTTTGCTCCACCTGTATTTGTACATTAGTGTTCCACATACTGGACAGATAATTTTTTCTAAAGCCTAGTGCAGATATTCCCAAGAAACACACTTCTCAGCACTTTACAAATGACTAAAAATGCCAACTTTTAACTAAGCCAAATATTTTCTAAAATTGCACATATACCCAAGCTTTCTTAAACTGTTAGCTGCTGTCTTATTTGATAAAATAAAAGAGTTTATTTTAAAATACAGTATTGCAAGTTGCCTTTTTCCCCCCTCCCATAAAATACAAGAGGGTGATTGCATGCAGGAGAGGAGGAAGCATTCCTTTTCTCTCAGTCCGGGTATCACAGTGGCTGGCTGCAGAGACTCTGTGTTGTGTGTGACAGGTGACTCTCAGGTGGGCTGGGACCCTCCAAGGACTCCTGATCGTGTCAGTGCTCGTGGTGTGTGGCATCACTACTTCATATAATTCACCTGTCGCTCTGATATTTTTCAAGAGCAGATGAACTCCTAGAGGGCAGACAGAAGAGATACACAGAGCAGGTTTGTGGTCCCAGAAGGCCGGTGCCACAGCCATTTCCAAGCCGCAGATGCAAGGCATGGACAAAGCAAGCTCCGACACAGCTCATTACCGGGAAGAAGCAGGCCCAACGATGAGCATCCGGCACAGCAGAGGCGGGAGCTTGAAGCATGGCAAGCCCTGCCGTGGCCTGTATCTGGAGAGTCCTGGATTTGAAAAACACAGGTGTGGAGCAAAGCAACATATTAAAGTCAATGCACTTTTAACAAGCAGCGGGCTCCCAAACCCTTTGTGTGTCAGACAGTTAAGATCTCCTAGGCCTGGGAATGGAAGATGAAACCCAGCGTGCTATCGCCTTTCTCTGGGACCTGCAGCCCCAGCTAAAGCCCCCAGTCTGAGAGATGTGTTTCAGGTGCTATTTTGGGTCAGCTCATGGGGTCACGAGCTTTGAGTCTTCCTCAGAGAGCCTCACCCAGACATCCTGCAGAAGAACGCTTACCACAGACCTCCAGGCTAGTTTCTCTCTGTTTTGATAGGAAGGAGAGGAAATGTGAAGCATGATATTTTCTCTTAGGAAAGCTCCAGATCATCTGGGATGCACACCCTGAGTCCCGGCTTCCAGGACTCCTCCAGATACAAAGGTTGTGCAAAAATTGTAAGGTTTTGACAAAATTTGAGGATCCACAAACCCATGAGTCTAGCAGCTACCTGCTCCCTGCATTCAGCTCCTGTTGCAGGTCCTCCTTGGATCTGAGGTGTGGGGAGGTAAAAGGAGAGCTCATCAGAAAACTGTGAAGCAGACCCAGGAATCAGAGTGTGCCGCAAGAACAGGTAGTCAGGACAGTGCCCGCAACGTCCTCATCTGGACCTCACTCAGTGCGCAAGCAGGCTTCATTATGAGCCAGTGCTCAGCTAGGCCCTAGTGGTAAGGTGGGCTCTGTAACAGGGCTGCTCATAGCTCAGCGCAAGCCCGGAGGGCAGCTTCACCTAGAGGCCTCTCCTCCCCCAGACTGCTGCAAATGTACTCAGTAGTCAGCTCCTCGGAAGCCTGAGCAAGCTGTCCTGGGTCTGGCTGGCAACCAACCCGACAGCCCCACCTTCCCACCCCTGGGAAAACCAGAGGTCACCAGGAAATTAATGACCTGTTTGCTGGCTTCGTGCCGAGAGGGCCTCAGCGGCAGTGTTAAGCACAAAGCCGTGGTGTGTGCGGGAATGTGTGCAGTCCTCAGGCCCAGCTTGGCAGGTCCTGCCATTGAGGATGGTCTTGTTGAGGCAGGGTTGAGTGTGGTGCCATCATTTCTAGGAGATGATCCAGTTTCTATGTAGCCATTGCCACTGGAGCCTGGAATGCACTGTCATAATTGGAAGTATAGATGTGGCTTGTCTTCCGCCCTTCAGCTGAGGACTGTCAATCAAAGTGGTCTATACTCAGCATTGCCTCAAGCCATGGCAGACCTTGTGGAAGACAGTTGTCAGGGCTGGTGATAACAGGGTTTATTGGCTCCCCCAAGCAAGTGGCCCACTAGAGCCATATAGTCCAGGGGAAGCCCTGACAGTGGCCCTATCTGTAGAGTCTGGACACACCCCACCTACATGTAAGGCTTGTCAACCCCAGCTTGGTGTATGCTTTAGGGAGTAAGAATGACAGCCTTATAGCTCCGGTTCTTGGTTCTTTAGATCTTCAACTTGGAACTCTTCACCTCTACAACCTGTGGACCTGCTGGGCTACAGGCCCTGCTTCCCAAAGCAAGGATTTACACGGGGATAGAGAAAGCTCCATTAAAGAAGCAATATCGGCTCTGAGCCAGGGCTCTGAGAGTTCTCATCCTTCCACTGACCGCTTCCCACCTTCCTAGCCCTTCTCCAACCTTATGAGCTCACACACACACACACACACACACACACGTCTGCACCCCTGTGCAAACACCTCTTTACACACAAATGCACACAAGTCTGCCTTTGCACCCATGTATGCGCACACACTTCCTTCTAACAATTGCTGCTTTCCGTGAGGCACTGGTTGGGAAATGTTTACTGGAGTGGAAAAAGCAGAGGCAGCTGTTGGTCACCCTGGGCTTGGGGCCAGTGCTCCCAATGACTTGGGAAAGAATTAACCCTTTCTTGGCAGGCAGGGTTGGGAAGCTATGGCATCCCAAGGCTTCTGTCAGTATGGCCCATGTGTGAGTTTCTTAGGTGCCCAAGGAGAATTCAGGTATCTGGCATTCATTCAAAAAGGAAAGCAGGAGGAAAGTGTGTTCTTCATTTCTTTAGTGGGCAGGACCTACTCTCCCAGCCGGAAGGAAGGTGGGCCCACTGTGGATGACAGTATTTCCCTTGGAGAGGCTGTCCACATTTATCCTGCTGTCAGAGCTGCTGAAGGGAAGCTTGCCCGCATCTACCCCATTAGGCATGAAGGCTATATTTGCATTCTGAACTGCTTTCACTTACATTTCCGGAAACAAAGCGTAGGAACCCTGATGGGGAAAAGGCAGTGGAGGCGGGATGGAGTGGAGGCAGAGAAGTATAAAAGGAAGGTAGAGAAGGGTTCACTGATGACGCAGGGAAGTTGTGGTAGGGGCTGGCGCAGATGGAGGGCTGCTGATGTGGGCATTCTGCAGGGACCAGCAGGTGCAGGCTGGTGGCTCATTCAGACAGAAGCTAGACCAGAAGGGGTGCTCTGTGATGCTCTCCCACTAGAGACAGGAGGCAAGGGCCCCACAGGGCAGTAAGGACTCCCCATCAGGTCCTTCTAACCAGTCCCTTCTCCTTCCACTGGAGATCAAACAGCTTCTGGCTACAGGAAAGGGAGTGGGGAGAGGGCACACTTCCCCGGGCACAGCAAGGCAGCTGGCCAGGCCTGCCCAGGCTGACCCACTTCCCAGGAGGCTTGGAGCAGAAGCAGGAGCCAGAAAAAAAAAATGCAAAAGCTCTGTCCATCGTGGGACCATCATATGCACTCTGCTGAAACTTCCTCAACTAATGAAAGATCAGGGTATTCAAGAGAAGCCAGCCTCAGTGACTCTGTGTGTTTCAAAGTGCCATCTTGAGCCCTGCAAACCTTCACCTTTTAATCCCAGACAGTAGTGGGGAAAGAAGCCAGTCTGTCTGCTCTGAACCCGTGGGTAATGTTTGCCAAGTGGTCAGATTTCGGGCAACGTTTATGGAGATAGTCTAGGCCCGTCTGCAAACACTGGTGCCCATCCCACCCCAGCTCTCTTCTCACAAGCACCACACCTGCTTCTGCCCAGTGAGTTTTGCGTAAGACAGAGTGAAAAAAAAAATTCCAGTTTCCATCCCCTTCTGCAAGCTGAGGCGTTTGGAAAGATATGGGGAGACCTGGCAGGGTCATCTGAAAGGGCCCCTCCTGGCACCAAGACACACAGGCCGTTGGTGTGGATCAACCCACCAGACTCAGGAGCAAGGCACAGAGAACATCCTGCACCAGATGGCTAGGCCCTCTTGCCCATTTAATCTAGCCCGGTGGTGACTGCCTCTCACTTAGTCTCTTTGTTTCTGTCTTTTATTTCTGTTCATTTATTTCTTTGTTTGCATTTAAGCTGTTTGCTTTTGTCTTTTTGTTGTAGTTGTTGTTCATTCATTTTTCCCGAAATGTTGTGAATGAAAACCAGGTCTGTGCAGATGCTTGACACATGCTTCCACTGAGCTACACCTCAGCCCTTTTATGTTCTTTATACATATTACATTTACTGTAAGTTATAAAAAAGAGTCTGTAATGGATTGGGAAGGTAAAAACCAAACACAAACAGAAAAAAACACCTTAAGATCATCTGGTTCATCCCCAGGCAGATTTAAAAATCACTGTCTGTAGTCAGACAAAACCTCTGTCTCAATGCCATGGGGTTGCAGCCACAAAATACCAAAGCTGCAGGCCATGGCCCTCAGTTCTGGAGGTACGAGCCTGTGGCTGAGGCTTCAGCAGGCTCTGCTCTCCTTGTGGGCTCTTGGAGAGGGTCCTTCTGTCTCTACCAGCTTTCAGTGTTGTGTGGCGTGGACAGCCACCACGAGCCATCATTTGCTGCCCCTCTGAACCCAGCCTTCTCTCTGCTTGTCATCCTGACTTTGCTCTGTGTTACTTGCTTATATCTGTCTCTTCTGCCTTTGGGACATTGGTCATGCTAGTCTGGGACCTGCCCCAATGACCTCTCTATTCTGACATTAACCTCTGTCAAGTTATTTCCCTATTTCCCATTTTGATGAGGGCGGGTATGAAATACCAACTTTTTAAAAATTATAGTACACAATTCAACCCCGAGTAATCTTTGAGGTCTTAAGGGTAAACTATCCAAGGGAATTATTTAATTTACACTTTTGAGAATTTACTATTTTAGGCTATATTAATTAAAGATGACTTAAAAATTAATTCTGTAGTGATTTCAGGATTGAGACGGATATCTGTTTTGTTTTTGTTGTTGTTTTTGGATTTTGTGGGATTTTTTGTTTTGTTTTGTTTTGTATTTTTGTTATGCTAAACTGTACATGGCACCAAAGCCATTGCTCATATTCTAAACCACAGTGCAGTCACCAGAAGAGAGCAGATTTGTGTGACAACATGTACCTTGGCTGCCAGGGCTGGCACAGGACCGGAGCCTGTGTGTTCTGGCTCCCGGGGCTGTGCCTTCTGCAGTACAGAGCTCCCCCCCCCCCACACCCAAGGATGTCCATCTGGAGCTGCCTGGCCACTGACCACATGTACGAGG